TGCACTCCTCAGGGAGGTGCCAGTCTCATCCTTTTGTTCCTCCCACGCGGTTCCGGTGAGCTAAGAAAATGCTTATTTCCCTGAGCCTGGCCTTCATAATTCCATTCTATCATGCCACTTGAGAAGAACATCTTGGGTGAGGAGAACAGTTGTGCTGTGTTAAGCCAGGGTTAGGACTGAGTGTGTTGTGCAGCCCAACCTGTGAGAGTGCCTTGTTCTTCTGGGAAGCAGGTCCTTCCTCGCCTTGTCTTGGTCCGTGTACTCCTCCTCCCTCTGGCCTTTGCTGCCTCCTCTTCCCCTGGACTGTGTCCTTGCTCTTGGAAGCTGCAACCTTCCCCCAGGCCTCTCAGCTCGGGCCCCCTGTGGGTTCTTATGCACTGTGTCCACCAGGTCTTCAGCTCTTGCCTCCACCTGCTCGGCCAGGGAAAATACGTGGCCAGACTGTCTTCTGCAATAACGTTTGATGCTCTTCCTCTGAAGATTCACTACTAAGGAGGGACCTTGGCATGGGAAGATTGGGGTTCAGGCTTGACCAGGGCTGTGTATCCCTCAATAAGTGATTTCTGCTGTAGACATGTGGAATGGTTCTGAAGGTTAACCACGAAGGATGTAGAAACATGTATACTTACAGTTTCATAGAATCATTGCATTGGATGGGCCTAGTCCTGCCCTGTGCAGAATCTAAAGCGCAGCATATGCTCTAGCCTCCCTGATTCCAGAAGCATTTTTCATTGGTAGCATTAACTGTGCAGAAACTTAGTGAAGAACTGCAAGCAAAAAGTAGGAAGAATCTACAGAGACGGGTTCCTGGAAGTCTTTCCAGCCACTGAAAAGGAGCTCTGATCTGGGTCACATGACGGGGAAAGAAGTGGGAGGGGGGCTTAGAACTGAGCAGCTGCCAACATCCCGAGCTGCTGCCTGCCTGCCCCCCCAGGGGTGCCCGGGGAGGGGGGCTTCCTGGACTTTTCCCCCTCCAGACCCCCAGCCCCACCCAGCCTACTTTCACACTCGGTCCTTCCTTTGCCAGCTTCTCGCCCAGTACTGAATTTGGTCCAGTTTTTGGAGAGTTTTCTGCTGAAGGAGAGACAGGCAGAGTCCTCTGTCCCTTTATCTGTCTTTTTTCCCAACATCCCTCCCAGCTGGAAAGAGTGAAGGGGTTGCCTATATAAGGTGGGAAGAGGAAGAGGTCTCTAGGTAAGATTACGTATGGGCCAGAAATGTAGTGAAGCTTGGAGTTTGAATCAGAAAATCCAGCTAGCGGCTCTCCCTGTCTAATAATATGGGGCGCAGGCCTTTTGGGAATCAGTGGGGCTGCATAAAAGCATTATCTTTAGCCCTCACGGACTAACCAGAATGTCCCATTCTGGTGCCTCAGAAGAGCTGCATGAAGTGGCTTCCTCACCTTGCTTCAAAGTAGGCCAGATCTTCGTGAGCTCTGAGAATTTCTTATTGGATTTTTTTTTCCCTCACAGATCCCCTTGAGAACATGTTGGAGTCTCAGCAGCGAGACTCGAGTGCCCCTGGAAGATTTCACGTGGGCAGTGCTGAATCTAGGCTGCACATCCGTTCTGCTGGGGGATACACACCGCAACGGGCACTGATCAATCCCTTTGCCCCTTCCCGGATGCCCATGAAACTCACGTCCAATAGGAGGCGTTGGATGCACACTTTCCCTGTGGGTAAGGAATTCCTGTTTGGCCTTTGTTGTGCTTCATTGGTGTGTATGGATGTGTAATATGGAACTCTTTCTTTTTTGGTGCTTCTGCCAACCATAGATGTTTTGTCACATTTTTGTTTGGTTTGCTTTTTGTCCTGTTGTTAAGGTTGCTTCCATTGTGTCATACTCTTTGAGGCCCACAGCTCATGGATTCAGCCCATTCAGGAAATTTTGAGTTCATTGATTGATTGATTGATTGATTATGCGCCATCAAGTTGTTATCAACTCTTAGCAGCCACATAGACAGGTTTTCTCCATAACAATCTATCCCTAATCTGTTCTTTTAGGTCTTCCGATAGTGCCCCCATCGCCACTGTAACTGAATCCATCCGTCTTGCTGCTTGTCATCCTCTTCTTCTCTTTCCTTCCACTTTTCCCAGCATTAGAGCTTTTTTCCAGCAAGCTTCACATAATGTGTCTGAAGTGGGATAATTTGAGCCTGGTCTTTTGTGCCTTGAGGGAGAACTCCGGGTTGATTTGTTCAGTGATCCATCGGTTTGTTTTCTTGGCTGTCCACAGTCTTCCCAGGAGTCTTCTCCAACACCTAAGCTCAGAGGTGTCAATGCTCTTCCTCTCCTGCTTCTTTAAAGTTGTTCTGCTTCCATAGAGGGTCACAGGGAACCCCATGGCTTGCACAATTCTGATCTTTGTAGGTATGGACACGTCCCAGTATTCGAATATCTTTTCCAAGGCTTTCATGGCTGCTTTACCAAGTGCTAGTCTGCATAAGTCTTCTGCTTGTTCCTTTGCTGTTGATGGTTGATCCTAAAAGGCAAAAGCTCTCCACCATTTCAATATCTTCATTATCAATTCTAAGGCTGATTGTTCTACCTATTATTATTAGTTTGGTCTTCTTTATATTTAATTTTAGTCCCATTTTTTCACTGTGCCCTTTGACTTTTGTACTAGGGCTTGCAGATCCTTTGCATTTTTGGCTATCAAGGTAGTGTCATCAACATAGCACAGGTTACTGATGTTTCTTCCTCCAAATCTTGAGTAGCTGGGCTTTAAAAAGACCTTTCTCTGCCTGAATTTGTCAGTATGCTATATGTACCTCATAATTAGTGGGATGTGGACAACAGTATGTTGGCTTGCATGGTAGTGTCTAGATTATATATCCCAGTTTATATAGAACAGTGTTAGCATGCTTGGAGTAAAGCCGGAGTTTTGTTTGTGTTATATTAGCCAAAATAAGTCAAAACAGACTCTCCCTATGCATGAGTGTGGCTAAGTCTGGTAACTCAGTCTCACCTTTTCTATCTAACTAAAAAGCATTATGTGAGAGCCTTGATTGACTGCTATCTTGCTAGGTGGCAGAAGTCAGTATCTGTAGGCCTGCCTGACAAGCATGGTATATGGAAGGTTGCAATTTTGAATGGAAGAGGAGTTTGACAAGTCATTCAGTCCAATTCTCCCAACAGACATCATTTTGTCAGGATTGTCTTGTTGATAATTACTTGTTTGAGTCCAGTGAGCTCATGCTTTTGTCATCAGTGATAGTATCTAGCCACCATGTCTTCTGTTAGCCTCTTTTATATTGCCTTTAGTTTTTCCAAGCATTAGGGTCTGACTCTTGCCTTTGCACTGTGTCTCCAAAATATTTAAGCTGTACCTTTATTAGTGGTGCTTCCAGTGAGTAGCCTGATTTTATGTCATCTACTATTGAATTATTTGTTCTTCTGCTCCAAGGTCTTTTCAACAATTTTTTTTCAGGATCACAGTCCAAAGGCATCAGTTTTTTCTTTGTTCAGCTTTTCCAACTCCCATAGACATGCATTACAGCATTAGAATTTTGCTGGGGAAAGCATGGCCTTGACAATATGGACAACATGGAAGTGTGATGTCTCTGCACTTTAATATTTTGTATAGTTCTGTTATAATATTTTTCCCAGGTAGCATATGTCTGTTTCATGGATGTAGTCACCATCTATCAGCCCTACAAGATCGAAATCACGGTCATGTAGGTCAGGGCTACTTTTATTGTGACAGCAACTTGCAAGTCTGAATGTGCTTCCTGTTCCCTCATTTTATCTTCTTGTGAACTAGAGAGGGGCTTGCCTGAGATGTCTTCTCAAGTTACTTTCTTGGCCTGGGCTCAAGCCCCTCTTATCTGATTCCTTCAGCTCCTCAAGTCCTGTCAGGTTCAGCCCAAGAAACTCCACGAGACGGTTCTGGAATTGCTCTGTTCTTTATTAGCTTGCACCTGCTAGA